CTAAATAAACATGAACTTCATTCAATCTAAATACATTTAAAAAATCCTCAGTATTCATGCCAACAAGGTATATTTTGAAAAATGTAAGGGCTCTTCTCAATTAACAAAACCAAAGCTGAGATTTCAAAAACAGTCCAGAAGTCTAAAGTTTGACTCCGAACCTTATTTTCAGGAGTCTAGCTAGGGGTGTAACTCTGTAATGCAAACGTATCAGATACAACACTCCTTGGACAATGCTCATAAAACACTTCATAAAAGAGCCTTCACAGAGCTGTGTAAGCACAGCTGAGAAGGTGAAAAGCCTTGGAATGAACAGTTAGGGGTAGTTAGGAGCAACTGCTTATGTTGGCTGGCGGTGCTGTCAAACTGCTCCAATCACAGAACTAGATCAATTTACTTAGCAAGCATTTCAGCAGAGGAACTATTAGCAGTAACCTCTGATTTCAGAAACATTTATCTCATGATTAGCCATTTGAAAGTCTAGCTATGTCAATCTGAAGGCAGAAAAGCTATTAACATAATGAACTGGAAATTCATGTCTAGTGTCAGAAGAAAAAAAAAAATCAGAAAACATGCTATTTTAAAAATTAAATCCACATATTTATATCACTTGACCACAGAATCTCCAGCAATTACAGAACCTAATTAAGTGATAAGTTGCATTAGAAGGATCACTTACTATAGTCATCACACGCTCGTCTGGAGGGAAAGTTTGAAAAGACCGACATGCTCGTAAATCTACAGGATCTCGCAGGTAGAAGGCCTGGACTGCTGCAGCCACCAATGAAGGGCACTGCCTCAGCACTGCCACAATGCCTGCCGGAAGGTAGCAGTGGGCTCGGTGAAATGAGGCCTGAATTTTCTCAGGATACCTGTATCATACAGTAGCAACATAGTGTATTAAGTGTATTGCAAGCCCAAACCACTCCTTTTTAATTATTATTCCCATTTTCACTTTAATATTAATCTATATTATGGGCCAAGTGCCAGAAGATTATTCTTAACTGAAGTTAAAACTTAGCTAATCTAACATGTGGAATGTCTGTTTTTATGTATTTTTATATATATATATATATATATAAAAAAATATACACAGCTAATAAAAATTTAATCCCCACATTGGTAAAATGAATCACTGTGAACTTGACTAACATGTCCAGTGATACAGTATCCTTCACCACACCGAGTGTAGAAGTCATCTGGCTCGCGCTGTCAAATCCTTGCAAAAAAAAAAAAAGTACAGTGCCGAACACATCTGTGACAAGCTGGCGCTCTGAAAAGCGTGCTGGTTCTACATTTTAGTTCGCAATCCTCTTTCTCCCCCTGCAAAGGGCTCCTAAAGGCTCACAGAACTTTCAGATTTTTCAGTACAAGAAGGATGTGAAGGAAGAATAACTCTTGTCATTGTCAGGTGTGGCATCATAGCAGCGAACCACTTTCAGAGCCCCCAGATCACAGTACAGCCTACAGGACATTGGTCCCCCTCTTTAGAAGAATGCCACAGAAAAAACTCTAGCTGGTGGTTTCTGAAAAGGAAGCAACTTTATCACATCTAACAGGAAAACGACTGACTACAAGAAAGTACCCCAGACAGCCCAGAACCAAAACTTACTGTTGCAGAAGACCAAAATAAAATACCCACATACCCACTGATGCGTTTATACACTGCTGTTCTAATGGATTCTGCGGCCAGAAACTCCTCCGAACGGCTGGATAACAGCGTTAATGCCTGCGAGATTGTTGGACTGGCAGCAGAAAGGTTTCTGCTCGTCAGTCTCTGACAGCGGAATGATGTGCAGTTCTCCTTTGTAAAAGAACACCTGGCAGACAGTAGCATTCTCATCAGACGGGATAAGAACAGTCACATACTAAGCAATGCAAAATTTCATTTCATGTATGAATGTATTTGTTTAAACACAGAAAATACTGAACTACAAATAGAAGAATAATACAGGAAACAGCTGGTGGTTTTTTTGTTGTTTTTTTTAAGTGGGAGAGAAGGTAAATACAGATGCCAGAGATCATGATCCAACCAGTAAATAAAAACCTCTATTTTAACTGCAACAAGTTTGGTCAGATATATGTTGTTTCCTTAATAACAGCAATATCAAAAGTTTCTCTTCAACTAGAAATTTGCTTCAGGAGAATCAGAGAGCACAACCTAACTGCTGAAGAATAGGACAGGGACTAAAATTATTTCAGGGGCTATGCGCGACCTCTATTGGCTCCTGATCCTAAGAAAAGAACTGCATGTAACATTATCAACTCCCTCACTCCGTCTGTTCCTTCAAATGGAAGGAAAATATAGTGTTGATAGTCCAGATACAAGTTTGCAATTAATTTTTGTGTTGTGTTCCACCCCTTTTCTTTTTAAGAGTCTTGTGGTAGGAAAAAAAATTTAAATAAATCTTGGCTGATGAAAAAATAAGTTATTTCTATTTAAATCAATTGCCAAGAAACTCAGTGACATAACTACTAGCAATCATCCACAGCAAGATGATCTGGCTGCAGACTCTGGGTGAAGGAGTCCGTTTGTTAATTCTCCTATGCCAGACCCAGTCGGTCTCCTTGTAGAGTCAGCAACACTCCAGACTTGAGCATTCCCCAGTCTGAGGGCAGCAAGCCCTCATGCCTGAGCACTTGAGAATACGGCAGAAAAAATCCAAGTGGTTATAGCAGAGCTAGAAAGCTCAGGTGGATCCAAGAGTGCCCCTGAGGAAAGCGATACAGTATGTTTGTATTACACTGCCAAATACATTCCATAGTTCCCATGTTATCCAAGCCTTCCCTGCAATCCAATAACCCAGAAAATGGAAAGCTGGCCAAACTTACTGATTTTACAGATCAATCAATAGCTCAACAGCTCCACTGCCTTCACATTTGCCACCATGAGCAGCAAGTTTTAAAAAGTTCAGTCAGCTCTGCATTATGGAACAACTCTTAAAGAATGATTTATGTGCAAGAGTCAGATCTAGCTGAACAACACAGACTCATAGCCTCACAGGCAGGTCTATAGTTTCCATATTTTTGCCACAGTCTCCATAGTTTTGCCATTAGTGTAAGAACCTTCTCTTTCTTCCTTCCATCAACAACTAATTCTAGAAGAACCACTTGATACCTGTAACAATTTCCAGATGTCCCTACAGCAGTTTCTCAGGACACACTCTACATAGCATTCTCCAAGAGCACACAGAGCAGAATCGAGTATCACAGGTTTCCAGCGGTTAAGTGTCTCATTCAACATCCACAGCAAGCACAAAGCAGCTCATTAAAACCAGAATGAAAACAGACTGTGCTGAAAAAACATGCCGTTAATTAAAACAAATCTTGAGCCCTAACCAGAAGTTTCTTCACTAGTAAGGGATAGATAGCACTCTGGATTTTCAGTGGCACTCAAACCACTTGGCTAGATAGAGGTGCAAGAGAAAACTCAAACTGGTAAGTAAAAGGCTATTGTGAGCCACTTGCCCAATTGGTGCAGAAGTTTTACTTACCCTGTTGTCACTATTCTCAGGATTCAGCCACTTTGGGAGAAAATCAGCTGCTTCTATCAAGAGAAACTCCCCATCGCTGTCATCGATCCTGGCCAAGAAGAAACCGGTTTCTTACTAGGGAAAGTCTCGCACAGCACAATAACGCACGCTTCTACACGCATGCCTGCACTTTTTTCTAACATCAAGACACGACCTTACGTCAGCCCCTGACAGGAAAGGCGCTGCCCCTTCGCACCCCCGCCCCAACCGCCGGGCACCTCAACGGGGGCCGCGGCGTTGGTTGTGGCCGTTACCTGGCCGCCAGCCCCGGGAACTCCCTGGTGATCTCCCGGACGAGGTAGACGATGAACCACTCGTCCTCCACGTTATCCCCGAACAGCGTGGTGCCGCCGATGTGCGCCGGGGTCTCGCCTGGCCGGGGGCAGAGAGAGGAGAGACGGCTCAGCGCCCCGCCGGGCTCCCCCTCACACGCTCCCGCTTCCCGCCC